TAAATTAAAGACTTGAATGTGATTATTCTCTTGCACCCAATAATATTCATCTGTTCATCACCTCGCAGTTGACGATTCTTTACTCTGAAGGACCATCATATTAGCTTGGATACTTAAACTCTAAAATTGCGCCAAAGAAGACCGGTCTTGAGTAGTACTTACTAGACCCAACTGTAGGTTCTGAGCTGGTGCTTGCATCTGCCCTCTCTTTCCTACCTATGCAACAGCAGTATAAATGTGTTCAATACACAATTAACAGCAGGTGCTTGATTCTTGCAACCTGTTCAACAGCAACTGCAATTGAACGCGTACCCTGGTAAGGACTAAAGGCGACCGGTCTCAATTAGTGCTATTGTAGCTCTTACATGGCTTCTTCCGGCGAGTCAAGAAATCATGGACGCCGCTTCTGTCCCCAAAATCTTCCTTCCCATGCTCTAGCATTGAGTTTCTAGAATTATTTTCTCTACTTGAGAACTCTCGAAATTAACGTCACTTGTCCTGGTATGTTTCTGTGCGGTAACATAGCGCATCTTTTTGATTATCAATACCGGGCAATGACGCGAGCACCGGCGGAAACCAGATCGCTAAGTGTTATTACAGCCCAAGTGTTATTATGGCTTATATGTTGACGCACTAACCATCAATCTAATCCTCTTAACGACTGGACAGTAAGAAAAGACTGGTTGGTAGGGACAGACTGGGGACCCAACACAATTTTATGCTCACCCGCGATCACCCTCTATTGCTTTCCTCACCCTCAATCACCAGCCGGTAATGAAACACTCGTACCATCAATTTTAGTATGAATCTTCCTTATGTGCCTCTCCATGCTTCGTATGACCACGTAGCTTTTGAGTCACTGTCAATAGGCCCCTGGGCTCATATTCGTAGGTGTCTTGAATGCTTGACTCTATATAGTAGACAGTAGCCGAGAGCAACACCAGGTATTGGTGAGCTGTAGGCAGAGCAACAGGCGAAGTTTGAGTCACGGGCGACGAGAGCCACCAGAGAAGGATAGCACTGGGCACGGGTGAGCCGCAGGGCGCAGCCAGCCGCGGGCGGTGAGTTTCGGTGGGCCTGGGTGTCTGCGAGCAGAGCAAGCCGCCAGGCAGAAGCACCACTACTGTTGCATCAAAGCGTAAATCACTAGCAGCAGGCTCCGAGCAGCTTGGGTGGTCTATCTACACAGTAACTACTTTATTTCACGTTTACATAACACGTGCTGATCATTTCTCAATCCCTGCATTTGCCAAACCCCCGAAGCAGATAGCTTCTAGTGCTGATTTGATAGTAGGTGAAATATTAGTAGTCACTGTGCACCTTGCTTAACGCAGTGCCCAAAAAATATGAGATTCCTGACACTTCAAGACGCATCAGCCGTTGAGAAATAACTGAAGTGGTGGATTGATGCTGGACGAAGATTTTTGCACCAGTTTACGTCAATAGCTCAGAAAGGTCTGATCCCGAGATGAACCGAGAGCGCCGCTCTAGTTCGTCTTGAACCATGGATAGGCATGATGATGAATGTTGGGCCAGGTCCTAGAATACGACGCAAGCAACAGAATGAAAGCACAACAGCAAAAAGAGATCAATCCGCTCGAAGAATTGGACGAGCTGAGCAGGTGGCCGTGGCAAAAGCTATGGTAGACAATAAAAATTGGACAGGTGTGCTATCGCCAGAATCAAGGGGTGAAAGAAGACGAATGGGCGAGAGCGGGAAAACTGACGAGCTAAGTGTATTCACTTGGGACCGCAATCACGCGAGCAGTCGGTGGCCGGGAACTTTAGCACGTGATAATATCAATTTATGGTATTTAAGCTTAATCGCCGCCCAGCTTATTTCATAAATGGATCTTTTTATGTAGCCAACTTTCATTTGCCTCTTTGTCGCTGGCCTGTCGCCTCTCGTTGGCCTGTCCTGTATAGTCTCGCCGCGACGATATGGTATCCGCTATCGTCATTCTACGGAATTCTAACGCACCTAGTTCAATTCGTCACCTGCAAACCCCACTATCTCTTGTACTGTATCGCTTCGCAGGTTAGTAAACGACTGAAGACATAGTGCCGGTAGTTTTTACTCTGAGTATACTCATGTCTAAGGCTGAAGCAAGAATTCTATGGCAATCTACGTGCGTCCTTGCCGGTTTACTGACGCCGGTTGGTCTCAAAGGCACCGCGTCGCAGAAGCTAACCCCACTGTTGCACAAAACTATTGGCCCCGAGTTACGAGAGCTAATCTTCAGCTGCTACCTTATCCAATCTCACCAAGTTATGCTACTGATACATTTCCCGTACCATGTTGCATGATTTTGAAAGACTGGAGATTGGTCAAAACCCCTGGGATATACCGGTGGTTTGTGATTTACGCGTTGGCTTACGCGTTCAACTCGTAAGATAATTCTTACTCAGCTACCCCAAGCGATGACGGAATCACTGGCTGGCTAGCGTTCGATTGCGAGGACTCTTCGCAACGTTTCTCGCGACCACATTCACTTCGCGGTGTCAGGAACTACAAATAAAACGTGTCAGAGTTTCCTAAACCGAGCATCCCCAGTCGTACATATATTGTCGGATCGTTATCGTGCTGAGCGCTAGTATCGGCCCTGAAGGAATGGCTAAAATGGAATCCACGTTCATGATTAAGTATGAGAGGGGATTATCGCTATTTTGATTAGCCATATTCGAGTTTCATTGTTACCTAATTTCGGCAAAATAGTCACACAGGTCTCAATAAATCCAGCAGTCCATTCGAATCGAAATGCTTCTCTGTAATAGCCTCAGTTGCTGCAATTTCCTCCAGCTTAGTCGGGCGAATTGTCTCAAAGTTAGAGAGCATTCGAAAGCGTCGAATTCCATTTCTACTACATCTCCTCAGAAAAACGCCTCGCTTCTCATCCAACAAATTGACGAACCCATCAAACTCAAGTTGTGAGATCTTCTGAATGCTACAGCTAATGGGTTAATTTTATGTCAAATCTTCTGATCTATGGCAGACTTACTGAGAATCATATATGTCGAACTCACCGCCCCATGGTACTAATAGTAGAATACCGACCCCAAAACGACTAGCCAATCGATACCAGTTTCTAGAGGAATATAGAAGGTTTCGCAGCGTTTTCATCTGTTTTTGGAGCTCTTCGTTATCGCTTTCAAGATCAGGCTGGTTTTCAATGATAATAGCCGACATTACTTCTGAGTCTGTAAAACTTCGGGGACGCTGGTTATTGGCATATAGCCTTCTCGCTCTCCGTTCATATATGTTAACCAGATAGAATCGACTTATTCTGTTTTGCAATCGCGCGACCAACTTCAGATCTCCCGACCGTGCGATGGCCTGCACGGCAGACTTCAAGTTGCTGGGTTTTGAGAAAGGTAATAATGCATCATTCCTCTTCAAGGCTTTAAAAATATCCCGAAGTTGAAGAATAGCATAAGGGCTACCCACGGCAAAGAAAAGGCGTGTAGTCAAATTGAGATCGTGGCGGTTTGTCGAGCCAAAGGATCCGAGAAATCGTCTGATATCTTTCACCGAATCGCGGCAGTGCATCTGCCGTGGTAAATTCATCCAGGATTGAACGTCTCTTATTCTAGCGTTTGTCCGCCGCCGTGGTGGGGACGGTCGCGGTGAAGGAAGGAGCGAAGCTGTAGAATTCTCCAGTGTATCTGATTGGCTGGGTCCTGTAAGATGTGACCTAGCTGTCCTGAACGAGTTCGACGAGTTAGATGTCATCGGGAATGTTTCTGCTCCTGACAGAAAAGTCTGGGTGCCCAAGTTTCTAGTGAAAGGTTTGATGATACTGTATAGCTTCTTTACATGATCGATGAGATCATTAAGTGCTGGCTGGTCACGGAATTGAAGGGCGACCTGCGAGACCATTTGCTCGTGGTCTGCGAATTTCTAGGGTTGATGAGTCTTAGTATTGAGGCTAGTGGATTGAGCGTTCGCATACTTACTCGTATCAATTCGCTGTTACCAGATATCGCTGAGACATATGCTATGCTAGTATTTTCTTCGAGTGATCCATATCGCTGCGATGTAGTCACGTGGTCAGCCGGCGTTGTAGCCGATGAAGTCATCGTAAGGGGAGAGTTTGCGGATAGCGTTTCCAGAAATGCCAAGATCTGGTGATTGCTCATAGCGAATGATTTAAGGATCAGAGGCTGTTTCTTGTGCAGTGCTGTTCTTTGATGGCAGATATGGCCAAGTTCATGGAAGTGCAGCTTCCGGGACCATGTTGGCAAATTTGAATGAGCTCTGAGGTAAGATGCGAGCTAAGGGTTCTAGACAGCGTAGTTCGATACTGTAAAATTTCTTTCACTCACGGACTCATTTCAGTTTTGGAGGAATATGGTCAAAGACAACTTCGCAGCGTGGTTCTGGCCTATTTTATAATTGATTGTGAATAGAATAATTCTAGTACCATATCGTCCAAGAGCTTCCTAGTGTTCCAATGCCTAGCCTCCACTGCATATTTATCTTATAGATTTTGACCAATGAAAATGCGCACCATCGCGCCTTCGGCAAATCAAGAATAGCAGGGAGCTGAAGTGTCTGACTTATTTGACACAGTGTGAGTCAAGATTTAAGAAAATATTGGGTATTGCCACCTAGGTTACTACATCAAGTACTCCTGTCTCCGATTTACATTCGTTCTGACTGCCATAGCTTAGGTGATTGCTAGTTCTGCTGCGGACACCCTATCGGCCAATCACTGAAGCGCTAAGACTTTAAACGTGAGAGTTGTGCATGAGACCTGCGGTATTAGTGGTTTCTGCCCGCGGTAATTGACAAGACCTGCGGCACAAGTGCGCTAATTCCTGACTCGGAAAAATGAGCTCATCTGTCGTATTACCACGCAGCAGCCTATCGTCGTCGTGGAGCAACGGCGAGATTAGGTCTAAGGACTATATAGAGGTTGGCTTGCAGTAAGAAAGTGCAGTTTATCTTGATTATTCCTACAAATCCTCTTGTTGCCGAATAACGTACTAGGGATGAGAAAATGGAGTTGCAAAGCCCAAATCTTCAATGGCTCCCTACAGAGATCTTACTTTTGATCTTACAATATCTTTGTCTCAATGACCTGCAGAGCCTTGCTTGTGTGAATGGAAGGTTACGAGAGATCTCTATTCCATTACTTTTTCGCCACGTTCGATTTACTTTCTCACATCCTGGCCTTCGTGCTCTAAGAGATTTCGCGAAGTCTCAAGCCAGCAAACATGTTAAAATTCTGACTTATAGAGCCCCAACGTTGCTGAAACCAAGTGAGTAAATTGAAGAACACAGCTGCGAGAAAGCCGTCTAAGAATGACGCAAGGCCTCTTAGATTTTGAGTATTTCAAGTGTGAAATTCTCACGCCCGAAGCTTATTCTACAGCGACAAGACAGTTTTATGGTGAAGACCCTACAGGCACTTTCCCTCCATATATGGAAATCTACAGTACCATCAAGCACCTGTGCGAAGATCATCAAAGGATAACGAGGAGGAAATTCGATTTAAAAATGTTGACAGCCTCTCTCGAACTTCTTCCTCGAATTAGTGAGCTTTCAATACAGTTCTGCGAGCCCATCGATACAGGAGTCTGGGATAACTCATGCCTTGATCTCAACATCTGTGACTTTGAACAGTCCTTCAATCACCATGCTCAAACAGTGACTGAAGCTTTGAGGGCTTCCAAGAATGCAGGGATTGCTTCAGGGACTATTTCATTGGATTTCTCGGAGGTACCGTTCTGCCTATATGAAAGGCCGATGTTCTCTAGAATCTCGAAATCGCTGAAAGGTCTAATCGAGTTCAGTACGTCCATATGTGTGATTGGAGACAGTACACCTTTGCAGCTATTAGTCGACACGGGATTGACCCTGAAATGCCTTGAGCTAAGACATCTAATGATCAGGTACGAAACATGGCGCAAACTTCTTGAGGTTAACAGAGATTCCCTCCATTGTATTGCGTTGTATGACACTGAAATATTTGGTGTGGGTGAAGCTGGTTCTTTTTCGTATGAGGTCTCCCGTCAAATCCGTTCAATTACGTTCTCTGAGTTTCAATCCACGGTGAAGAATGAGCTTGGGCAGGATCCTATGATTACGACACCCGGCACCAATCACGTTTCTCTGGTCCGGAGGAAGGCATTACAGCCGATTGAGAGCCGAGAAGATGAGCACGCCCTCGTATTTGATACAGATGGAGCGATTTCTCTAACCTTGTTTTCCTCTCTTATTGGAAGCAAGGCTGGCCCAAGGTCCTCTTCGGGCGATACTGACAAGACAGTGACCATCACCTTTCGAGCCTACGAGCGCGGGAGATGGAAGAAGATGTGCAGTCTACCAGTCACAGAATCCGATATACGCGAAGCTCAGAGGGTCGCGGATCAGTACGCGCAGGCGGAGCACCAGAATGCACGATTTTATGACCGTTCTCTCCGGAAAGTTTCCGTCAATTGGTGTGTTCATGCAGCGATCCACGATGGTACCTTTACTATTCTCATGAGTTTGGGAAGAAGTCTGCATATAACACGGCGATTGATGGCGTCGGTTGCACAAATGTTCGGGGTATACCAGAGAATATAGTAACGGCAGATGATGTTATACAATAGTGTGAACAAAAATAAGGAAAGTGCGCTGTGGAAGAGCCACGAACGTGGTCTGCAGTCTTTTTTGAATTCTCTACAATTAATCCAGCTACTGTGAAGGACTCATGCTCAGTTCCGTCCCCAGTCAGCATTTTGACAGTTATAGAAGATCTGGTGGTCTATAGATCGGAGTGGAACGCATTTGGTGCTAGACCGGCCAGCTTTCCATTACCCTGACTATAGGCCGTAGCGCCTCATAGACTAGCCCTGCACTGTGGGTGCTGGAGCATATCTGTGTGCTGTTGGATTCGAAAAGGATCGCGTTGCCAGCACCAAGTAAACTAGAACTAGTGGTATGGCAAAGAGAGCCTTGTCTTATAGAGCCTTGAATATATTATCAGATGAATACTTGCTGAGGCCCACCACTCTTCAAGGCTAACCACGAAAATAAGAGCATCACCGAATCATAGCCCCTCGAGATTGTCGGCTTGTGTGATAACTAAAGCAGATATGTAGCTTGTCCCACCATGCCTTGCGTTCACGAATGACTGAATCGATCGAAATCAGAGACTAGTCTCGTTAGGATCAATGACGGCCTGTTTGACTTTCCTTTTCGCTTTGCTGTATTTCCCAGAAAGTCCTCGGTTCCAGCTCTCCCATTGCTCTATCTCTTCCTTATAACGCTCGAGCTGGATTTCTTTCCTTTGAGCTTCAGACTCTAGGACTTCCAACCTCGCTTGAAGCTCGTCAATCTGTTCCTCCATTATTTGAGTGTCTGTACCACTTGATGCAAGTCGTCTACACAATTGATGTGACAAATCAATCATGAAGTCACCTCCTTCTGCTATAACTGTCTCCAAGTTTTCGACTGAGAGCGCGCTATATCTCAATGCGACAAAGCGGGATAATAGTCTTCGAGCTGGATTCTCTGGAGGTACGGCAGTCGGTGTCGAGCCGTATATCAACCGAATCGAATCTGCAAGATGTGGAAATAGTTCGCTGAGAAGATCATTGCATGCCAGTAAAACTTGTGTAAGGCGTTGTATTGCAAATCCCTCGAGTGCGGTAAAGCAAAATCGGTGAGCAAAACAATAAACCTTGGAGTGGATCAGGATCGCATGGCCGAGAGCTTCGGGACGATTCTCTGTTGTTTTGCTGAAGCCACCTGCAGCAGTTTGAAAGGTCAAGGCTGGTAAACCAAATCTGCTGTATCGACTCAAAGGTGGTAGAGGTCGGTCAGGTTCCCATTCATTGTGAAGTTCGGTGTCTGGAACTGGTGCTTCAACGTCAGAAACGTCGAAGTTTCCATCCAAATCGATATCTGCGATGAGATCAGGATCTGGTCTAATGATGTTCGCGGTTTTCAGTTGTATCTGATAGACATTACCATTTCCCGTCTCTCGGTACTTCTCCTGTTCATCGTAAACTGCACCTGGAACATAATAGTCTGAAGTATAGAGATAGCTCAAGACGCATTCTACTGTCGGCTCATCAAAATCCGACCAGTCGATCGGTTCGCTGTTTCCATGTTCCCTCCACGGCCCGTTTATTCGGGCATTTAACGCTGATGAGTTGCATGCTAGTATCGTGGGATGAACATAGTAGATGCGCTTGTTCTCGCCCGCAATAATTTGAAGCGGGCTATCAGTGAAGATACTGCATCTATTTTAGCTAGTCATATGGACTGTATTCGATATACCTACCTTGGATTTTGAAGTAGTTTCTGGAATACTGCCATATTAATCGCTGTCAGAGTCAATTAAAGGGAAACCCTTAAGATGACTCAAATAACTGAAACCATGGCTAGGCGGAGTTTATAGAACTCTGTCGAAGAATTAGCCGCGGCATCCGTGCTATAAAGAACAAAGACAGATAGATGTATGCGTCTGCCACACCGTCTCCATTCTGATCCTGCAATGAGTCGACTTATGACGAATGGAATATTGACTGTATGTCTAACCGATAAGGGGTCGCATGTAGGAGATATTGGTCGCTTCTTCTCTCCGCGGGCCACGTATGATGCAGAGACACGTGTCCGGCCGTGCCAATGAGTCGAGCCTTGCCTAGGCATCAACAGAAATTACTGGTATCTGGCAGCTCTATCGATATCAAAGCTAATTGAAACTTTGAATATATTTATCACTGTACGTACCGGAGAAGACTAGGACCTCTATCTCGGCGGGGGAGTAAGTTTCCCTCTCTTTCAATTTCTTATCAGGATACGATAAGAAGCATCAGGTTATGCGGCATAGAAGCGAGACTGACTGATTTGACTTGTCACAATCTAGAGACAGACATTCTAAATCAGCCCTCCATGCATTGTTATTCCGCTTGGTAGGCTTTGTAGTGGTGACGGTGACTACAACTCAGCGAAGCGGGGTAACAATGCTTGGTTGTAATTGAACACTTAGCGAGATAATTCTCTTGAGATTGTAAAGGAGGTTACCGGCGTGCGTATACCCGATATGTAGCTAGTAATTATGTCTTACTCATCTATAAATACAGCATTAATCTCAACCAGCTATTATGTCTCGAGTAAATCTCATTTCCCGCATCCACTAGGTAGCTGATGTATGCCGAGTTAATCGACTAGCCAGGCCCGTGAGACGTGGACACCTCTTATTTGGACACGTTTCGATCAGCGATCAGCAGGCTTCTCGACCTGGGGTAATACACAGCTTGTTATGTTTGCGTAGAATCTTCCAGCCGTATCGTTACCAGTGCAGGGAACCTCTACGGATTTCTTACACGTTACCGTTATCTCGGCCTTCTAATGTAATACGCCGATTGTAGCCTTCCAGAGAATTACTAAATGTGGTTTAGCCCTGTCATCTTGGCTAAATGTGGAGCATACATCTTACACATCACATTCAAATTGTGTACGGTCAGTCAGTAAGCACGTCAAGTTGCTTTCGCATACAATCGAAAACGTTCGTATGTATGTTTGGTATCACTTCAGCACCACATCATTTGCCAAAGATCAAGAACAAAAAATCCGCCATCCATTAGCAGCTCTTGAAACTCAGTATTTTCGCCTATTTGACCAAGCACTGATACAACATAGGTGGTGATCAACAACCTCAGAGCGTCGTTGGGCCGTGTCCATTGATAAGAGAATCGGATTAGTTCAATCACATCACTTATATTCTCTTCACACAGATTAAACTTTGCTAACGTTGTTTCCAGCTTATACAGAACCAGGTCTGCGAGGGGGAGAATGCAGTACTTATCAGCTAAGATGTATAATTTTGCATGTCCAAGAAAGACGGGGGTGAAATCCTCCCAAGGGTGAGAGTTCCCTTTCGGAGCAAATACGTCTTTCCGAGCTGATAAAGCACAATTGTGCGAGTTTGTATACTGCACGCTGAGAGTTTTAAACTTGTCTTGAAGGTGCTGTGTCCAGATACTCTTTTCTCTGTACGGTAAAGTATGACCGCTGAAATGAGTACTTGACTGCTCTGCCTCTGGCGTTGCCTCTGCCTTGAGTTCATCCACAATCTCTGGTTCAGTCGGAGTTTCTGGTTCGGCTGGTGCATCCGATACAGCTGCTGTCTCTTGCTCCGTTGCTGCATCCGTTGCCGCATTGCTAGCCTGATCAGAGGCTTGTTCTGCTTCTTTAGCTTCCACAGAGACCCGGCGTCAGATTCTATGCCTTCGCTTGTTCTTTGACCGTGATGCTAGTGAAGAGGACAACTCACTACCAATGTTGTCTTCAGTTTCAGCTGGTGGCTGTGGGATTTCTCTCTTCGAGCACAAGGGCGGCGTGTAGTCGCGCGTATAAGCGTACTCACACAGCAGAACAAATGTCATTTCCTCGACCCCTGACCAGTCGGCTTGACGTCTGTTTGCCTCCTGCATTTTACCGTTCATGAGATTATTGAGAGGGGAAGATAGGTTGGCCAGGGGTCTAGAGTGCACGGTAATCTCTTTCCTCTCCTGGCCAACCACAAAGGTAAAAAGGGGAGACGAGAGGCACCTGGTCAGATAAGCTTTTTCCTATCGAGTAAAATGCTGCATTTGCGAGTGACTTACTTGCTGAATTCACTGTCCATTGTTTGGCATAGCAAGCCTAATGGTCTTGAATTGAATTACAAAGGAAATAAGAGATTTGACAGGGAGTTGAAGGTAGGTCGAAATGATCTCACAATACTCTACAGAAAGCTACCAGGGCGATAATCATGACTGACATTCTACGTCACTTGGAAGTGGCGCAAAGTAATAGCTTGGTAGAAACGCGATAAATAAGCATTTACTCGTCCATACATTGCAGGAATGTACGCATTTTCCTTGGTTTCCAGTTGAGGTCAGACACAGACTATCACCTTGCTTGATTTGATCTCACCTAATGAACTGATATCGCAACACAAAGATGACCTGTGTAGCCTAAGATAAGTGAGCTGTAAGCGCAAAGTAGACGGGCGCCCGGGTGGGGGGCAGGCGCCTTGGCATGGAGTCTTTCTTACTGACAGCCGGCCCTGCGTACAGATTGTTACAGAAATTGCCTACGCACCAATCATTACGCACTGTTGTATTACCTGTGAAATGAAAAACGGAATGGACAATACCGTAGGGCGCTTTAGATGATGTGAGATGTACTATACGGAAGCCAAAAACCATCTCAGCACATGCATTCGGAAGATGCACGTGGCGATAAGAAGTTTTCATCTGTGCAAGGGTAGTGTTCGACTTCTCTATAGTTAAAGATACAGTGGAAGGAAAGTAGACTGCGTAGTTAACGTTATGTCTCTTTGTCATCCTATGATTAATGCCTGATCGTACGACCAGCCCAACCGTAGGACCGCCAACTGGCGACCGCGCCAGATGTGAGTCCTCAGCGGTCATCTATCTACGTGCGGGCGACCCCGTCGGTCTGCCGCACCGCCCAAGACTATCCTGGACGCTACAACTCCTCGTCTTCAGTCGCTGGCCCAGCCATTCCCACATTCTCGCGCAATTGGGTCACGGAGGCCACCAGCCCCCGCGTCACCGCGAGACCTCTTCCCAAGCTCATGAGGACCGTGAAACTGCCGTCGTCGATCGCCGCGCGGAACACTGGTCCACGGCCACTTTCCGTAATGAGCCATCATAGAAATGGGCCTCCTGCGCCGGGTCTCGGGCATACCGCTCGGCGATCGCCTGCGCCTTCACTGGATTAAGGGAATCCATAGAGACCGCGTCCGTCACTATCCATTCTCCTCGCTGGTAGGCGCGAACGGTGATCGTCACTCGCCCTTCTGGTGACGAACTGCCAGCAGGACCTCTATTGATACCACCCTCCGCAAGGGGAGCCGGATCGTTGGCTTCGTGGTGCGCCACATCCCTCACCCCTGTGCTGACGGGGTTTGTTATGTCCGGTGAGTGGCATCGAGCTGTGTGACTTCTCCTTGCACGCGAGCCTCGAAATCAACCGCCCGTCGCCGGGAGGACAACCCGGCTCGTGACACCTTGGACGATCCTCCTGGCTGAGCCTGCTTTGGTTTGGCTATCCTGGGCGGTTTCGTGACCTTCCGGGTGCGCCGGGTAGCGGCCGCAGGAGTACGATCTTCAAGATCTTCCATTTCCGTGTCCGCTGCCTCCTGCATCATATGCGGTGTATTAAAGAGGAGACCTTCGCCCTCCTGTCTTGCAATGGCTTCCCGTTGGGCCTGCTCTGGATCGGGCAGAACGGCGGGACATCGCTCAGCATCCTGGGGAGAGACCACAGTCGTTTCGGCCGTGATCCCTCTCGCTTCGTCGCCGCCCTCATCGCTACCCCACAACTCATCAGCGAAGGCAGCATCTCGAGTACTTGCCCGATTGATCTCTCGAGTCGGTGTGGCCTGATTCTTCCTCAGTTTACGGACTGCTCCTGGTTGACGTGGCTGCAGACCGGTCCTCGGACCCCGTCGGGGAGATCGGGGTAGATTCGTATGGCCCAAATCGCTTCCGAGCCGTCCCTCTTCCGTGCTCTGCGCGATGGGCTCAAGGGGCAAGGGGCGGAGGGAGGCTTCGTCTTCAGGGCGCGCAACGCTTGTTGCATGGGCGAGAGGTACACCTGCATCAAGCTGGCTTCCTTCGCGCAACTGTGCGATCAGACTAGGCAAATCCGCCGGAATTTCGGTGACGCGGCGGGCGACAGCATGGGCTTGAGATGCTCCTAGCTGTGCCGGTGTATCGGCTTGCTCCTGCGCATGTCGCTCTTCCCGGAGAAGTTCTTCAACCTGATCGGCAATTGACTCTCTACCCTGTGTCACTTGCTCCCCGCTTATTCCTTCTGCACCATCAGACGGTGGTATTTGTGAAGAGGCGGGTTCGTCGCCTTCGTGGTTTCGCGATTCGGGCTGCTCCGTTTGGGCAAGCTGTCGCGCATCATTTCCAGCAAAGTCGCGCTGGGGCGCACCAGTTGCTGTGCCATCCTCGTTTAGGGCATGTGCTTCTTCTGTCGGCTGTTCCAGACCCGCCGGTTCCTCGATTGCTTGTAACGGTTCTGATCCGGGCCGGTGCTCTGCGCTTGCGCCCGGGTCGGTGGAGTTCCCGCTGGGAGCTCGGTCGGCATCTGGAGAAACGGTCCTGGCCGCACAGCGATTGCCTCTCTGTGCAGGATCATACGGTTGTTCTTGATGTGCATGACGGTCGTACTGGTCTGCTCGTGCCGGTGTCGTCCCCCAACAGCACTCTCTTCTAATCCTTCCGACAGATCCCTTTCGACGGATGTTCCAGGAATCAAAGTAGGTAGGGAGGCCTCTTGGCCGAGGGTCCTCACCCTCCGCGCGGTGCAAAAGCTCGTTCTCGTCGATTTCCGTGCAGTCATCCTCGCCCGCCGCACCCTCTCCTTTTCCGCTGGTGGCCGGCTGATCGTCCGCGTCAGAGCTATCCCCATGGTCGGTAGTCACACCCACAGGGAGATGAGACCTCCTTCCTGCGGAGCTCGCCGGAGAAGGTTCTCTGGCCCCAGACTGACTGTGCATGGCCGCCGGCCGCCACGCAGGCGATTGACCTTGCCGTGGGTTCTGTCGCCCTTCCAGTTGTTCTTCGCGAGCTTCCGACCGTCCCTGATGGCGAATGGATGGACCGTCACTCAGACTAATTATCGACATATCGTCAGGAAACGGTTCCCGTTCTGCATGTGTCGTCACGTGGAACAAACAAAGGCGAAGAAGGCTCGCTGGCTGGTGACCAGGCGGGCGGAGTGTACGGCATAGATGTTGGGAAGAAGGCTTCCCGAAAAACGCGCAGTATACGCTCCGTCTCACTCCCAGGGACGACGGGTTCCTTTGCGTCGTCGCCGCCGAACGTAGCTGGTCCAGGAAGAGATGCGGGCGGTCCAGCAGCTGAGCTTGCCCAGGAGGAATTCCACAACGGTCTTTCAATTTCGTCGCCCGGCCAGCGGGAAGCGTCGTTGGCGGACCCTCGTTCGGAATCGCGAGAGCAAAACAGCCGGCAATCTGGTCGATCAGGGACTCGAAGGTGTCCGGGTCATAGTGGTAGTGGTCGGGCTTCCGAGCTTGGAGCAGCGCCGCCCGGGCAGTCTGTCGGTCGGGCGACTACTGGAGGATTCCCGGAATCGGCGCCGTGCGGAAGCCCACCATCCGAGCCAGAGTGGCCATGTTGTGAATCACGCTCTCGTTCGCCTTCGCGCGCGCCTTGGCCCGGGCCGCGTTGGCAGCCTGGCCGCTCTGGATATGCTTGGCCATGTCCGGGTAATGCCGCATCGCATACATCCAGATCTGGCGGTATGCGAACGACAGGCGTTCGTCGGTAGACCCCGCCTGTCGGCGAAACGTGGTTTCCGACGTCTGGATCGGACAATCCGTGTCCGCCGCCCTGGGTCGAAAGCTGTGCACCAGCGCGCGTCGAATGGTGGGATGCTGCTTGTTCAAAGCAACCAGCCGTCTGACGGCATGGGCGCAGACTTCCAGGTACGAGAGGTCGCGGAAGAAGGTATGGAGGGACGCGATGAGGCCGTCGCACGTCTCGTGCGACCGGAGCGTCTCCCAGATCGCGACCCGTTCGGATCGGCTGAAGTTCGAAAACACCTCGCCGCTGAGGATTTTGCCTTTCACGATCTTCCGATCCACCGTAGACACCCGAGGGGCGTACAGTTGGAGCGTGTCCACCGTGTGAAGGTCGATTCGGGCCATCTGAGCAGGGTCCTCGTGGACCAGCGTCGCCCGGAAATTCTTCACATGTCTCAAGTAATGAATCACCTCCTACCAACGTCAGAGATCAGGCGACCGCGACGGAGGGTCGGACGAACTTTGTCACACTTCAGCGCCATCACGGTGTTTAAGGATCCCAGGCTCATCCCATTCCAGAGCCCCGGGATCGCAAGCAACACATCAAACGCGGCGCAGAGGTAGATATTGTCCGGGGACGTGAGCCGCCGTAACCGCTTGGCTTTGTTCGGCGACAGCCGGGACCACCAGCGATTTTGAAAGAGCGCGTTGCTTTCGTGTTGGTATTGACGGATCTTCCGGTAAACCTCCCCATCGGTGGGGAGCTTCTCGTTCGCATATTCATCGACGAGGGCATTCCGGAGGTCGGAGCTAATATCTGCCAGCCAGGGTCAGCGGAGATGGAACACGGCACGAAGGGAGATTCCAACCATCCAAATAGAGGTCGACCGTCCACCACCGGTCGGAGGGGGACAGGAAATCCTCGGCCGCTTTGATTCGATATTGTCCATGAAGGCATTGTACCTGTGGTCTATGAAAGCACAGGCGGGGATACTGTTGGGGGCGATATTTTAATTCTTCCAGAGTCAGTCCCGTGGCCTGGCAGGCTCTCTGCAGGTTTGTGCGGGAGACCACAGCAGTGATGTGGTTTCGGATATCCAGGCGGTGACACCCGTCCTTGGCAAAGATCTCATGTAATCGCTCCACATTTTTCTTCGATCCCCCGGCGACTCGGCGGCTGGAGAGAGATCTGGTCGAGATCGAATTTGGCGGTCCCTTGATATTTAAGCTGCCGTTCCGTGGTTAGTCGGCGTGCAGCATCCGTCAGCATAAACTCCATAGCTAAACAGAGAAGTGGCTTTGGTTCTCCTGGTCGAAAATCGTTCGGTGGACATGGAGGTATTTAAGCCGATTGCAGCTCTGACATTTTCTGTGTGGGAGATGGATCAAGTTCAGCGCTTCAGCGCTACAGCTCTTCAGCGCTCTACCCCGGACCGTCGGAACCCCATTTTCAAAAAAGCGATGTCCTCCAATCTCCCATGGATGTCTCATCTGACCTCCTGTCGCTAGACATCCATTGTCATGGATAAATGTGTCTCACAGATGGAAGACTGGGGTCCTTCAGCACCCACACCGAAGCCTGGACAGACGAAGTCTCAGCCTTTAGGCACCCATGAACTAACGAAGGGGATGAAACAACGGTCGGAGCAAAACATGTCCAAAAATATCCTGCACGATCATGGGCGAAACAACCGCCCAGGTGAGACGCTGGCGGTTCATTTCGCGGGCCATCCACAGAGGCTGACGTGGGACACATTGACGGATCTTTTTCCCTGTGATCTTGCAGGCCCCGTGCTATGAGCTGAGGTTCCAGCCGAGGTCTGTCATGATCCCCAGCCGCTTGAAGTGCCATGACGTTATCCCCCGACCAACCTCATTTGCGAGGCTTGCCCACACGCTTTTGGTTCTTCTGCGCTGTGACAAGAAGGGTCAGGATGGGCAAAACTCTCTCCACAGATTTGCCAGCTTGGGGCGATCTCCCGCTTTCACTAACAATGGCAGCCACCAACATAGGAGTGTGATCCCTTTCGCCAGGGAGACCGTATGCTTTGTTTTCTCATGATATGTGTTCAAAGTGCTTCCACAATCCATGACGTTGAACCTGTGTTTTGAGACTTCTCGGAGCCGAAGAAGTTGGCCACGCTCGGTTACCTCATAGGCAAGATGGACCTCGCTGTGCTGGAACCCCGATTTTCACATCATCTACCAAAGAGAGCAACGTCAAACCCATGTCCTCCCTCAGGCCCACTAGGAATTCCCCACCATGCCAGGGATCAAACGCCGAGGTTCACCAATATCTACCCGGATAATTCAACAAAACCCTCGTAATATATTTAATTCCAAATTGTCATCCTCCTGGTGGGATGCTAGGTCGGTTTTCTTGTCATCACGTTTCCCTGTAGACTGGAAACTTGCAATTTTTTACAACACGAGGTACTTCACAAGTCTCGGTCGAAGTGGTGCGGATCTGCAGAAAGGCTGACTACTCGTCTGGCCAACATTGGGAAATTGGGATATATAGGTCTTTCTGGTCGCGTCGAACGCCTTACAATATGTGCGGCCCTTTATTATACGCATTGGAAACTCTCGCTCTGATCTGAAATGTCACCAGGAACCAGACGTTTCTGCGGAGGCTTTAGGTCTCCGTACCCTACTTTTGTGGGACGTAGAAGAGACGATGGGAAATATGTTATCCGTCTAATAGTCAGGGTCTTCATAACATCCCCGGCCTCGGGCATCTCATGCCACAGGGCAGACCTCAGTCCACGTAAAAACCATGGCCTGCCACAGGGCATCTCTTCCCACAGGGCATCTCATGCCACAGAGCAGACCTCAGTCCACGTAAAACCATGGCCTGCCACAGGGCATCTCTGGCCACAGGGCGGTCCTCAGTCCACGAAAACAATTGCTGGCCTTCCCAGATGAGTGTAATTTCACCGTTCAGGAATTTGAAACGTCACAGCGGAAATGGAATCATATATCTGGAACAGCATTTAACCCGCGTGTCGCTCGATTTTCGGTGGGTGACACACAATGACCAGGGACCTGAAGCCCAGCGTGCAGTGACGAAGACGAGCCTAGGAGTTTGGAGTGATCAAATCGGGCCGCTTAACAACGAACGCCAAAATGGACATTTGCACAGGTCGTTAACTAGATGAGGGCATCGCTTTTTGTCCGTTGGTGTTCAACTCTGACCTTGTCAGCGGCAGCTTGTCATTGGTGGTTCGATGAGGGTATTGCCAAGCAAAATAAACGACGGTCGCGGGTGGTTTTGGTTTGGTTACGTCAGCACTCAGTCCCCAAAAAAATAAATAGTTAAATAAATAAAAAATTAAAAATAAAAACCAAAAAGGGTGGTCGTGGTGGTTCTTTTGGTTAATAACGTAACCAGGCATATTCCAGTTGATCACCAGGTATTTGCGAATTGCCCAGGCAAACCACATCAGTGCCATCACCTTATTGCTAGTCAACATGGTTGAACGGTCATCTCGACAAGAGATGAGTAATGCCTGAGGCCCTCAGTTGATGGTGTTGAACGCCGTACATGGATAATCAAATTCTTGGACACCACGATTTTGGCATCATCTGAAAACCATGGGTCTCCTAACTCATATATCTAACCCATTCACAGCTAGACTCCTGTTATAGACCGTCTGATGACAGACGAAGAAATACCTGTGATTCCCTACCCTATCTTGCTGCATCTTTTTTGATAGAATTTCTGCTATGGCTTTAGAAACCCCTCTTCAGGAGAACAAGAAAAAGGGAGGCCCCTCCAAAAGGGCATTCCGGCAAATGAGAGAACGACGAAGGGAAGGCATCATCAAAAAGGCCTCCGAGTATAGCAAGCTATGCGAAGCGGATGTTTGTCTAGGCATCCGATTGAGGGGTTCTGGTCGCGTGTACACGTTCTTAGCTGACCAGAGTGGGATTTGGTCCTCCTTTGAGTCTCACTTGGTAGGATTCCATTTCTAGTGTGCAATGCAGACACTAATCCCCTACAGGAAAAGTACTATCCTACGCCCATTCGGAGAACGATCGAGAACATTCCACGATCGCGAAATACCCAGCACGGCCGCCAGGATTCGGAGACAGCTGGAGACAAAATCGAATCTACAAAGACTATGTGATTTGGGAGGGATTAAATATGGCCCGAGTCGGATGACAGGATAAAATCCAATAACTACCTACACTGGTTGGAAGGTGATTGAATGGCTGGGTGTCTGAATTCATACGGAACCTCTGTTGGTACTCCTAGGTGGAGAAAGGAGTAGTTTGTGTCCAATAATTGTTGAAAGGCGGTGGGTGTTATATGATTGGTTGAACGTGAGCCCTCGGCACGACTCGTACGGCCCAATCAACTCGATGGTGTGGGATAGATGCTCTGAATTTGACAACTTGTATATCGAAACTTCTATCCACTTGAAGTAAATGGAGGCTCATAGAGGCCTTCAGAAGCAGAGTCCACGATGCTAATAGTCTACAGTGCGCCGAACTTTGATTCCTTTTGAGAAATAATCGATCCTGATAGTGTAAACAATAATGCCAGAAGAGCAAACATAGAACATGGCCCCTTCACGAACGTTGAAGGATACCTGTCAGGGTGCGATACCTGTGTGGTGCCCATAATGCGAATGTGGGAAACCCACGGAGAGATGTGGTGCAACTTTGGGGATTAGGGTTAAGCCTGGTTCGGTTAGTTCGGCACCTAGTCAGCCTTCAGCGCGTCAACTTCAGCGGCTTCGGCTTCAGCGGCTTCAGCGAGTTACCTTCAGCAGTGCGGCCACCCTGCACTCCACGATCAGAGCCATATTTACTAGGCGTCTTCTTGCTAATTTCCCGCAGGTGCTCGAGAATAAGAACCATTTCCGTTAAAAGAGACCAGTATTTAAAGCCACTATCGGCAATCCAAATGCCCATCGAAAAGATGTCCTTCTCATCAAGTCGTAATGACTAACAACGGCTTCCAAGCCCGCGAACAGCAAAGGCTCGTACTGACTGCGCACTGACCAGTCCACGGAAGAAATGAATGAATAAACCAGGGAGTGTGCACACGATCAAAGCATCGCCAAAAGTCGACGTATAACAGCAGGATTGCAGCGATCCTCCGCAGGAGGGCTTCCTCCATTCATGTATACATGCCCTGCATCCGACCGGAGTTCTTGAACTCCCCGACGAATTTATCATTCGCCTTCGTCGCCTTCACCAAGTGCTTGAAGGTCACTTGTGTATTCTCGACCGAAGCCAATGCTTGGGCGATGGACGAAAGATTTTTAATCTATCACATAAAAGTCAGCCGATGTCAGGACGGAGTCGAAGACTCGAGGTATTGTGACTCGCCTCTCGGCCGTTCAATTTCATCGATGCTAGATGTTCGATTTCGCTAGGGTCGACGGTGGAGGGTCCTTGAAGGGTTCGAGCCTCTGAAAGGAAGCTTTCCCAGATGTTCCGTCGCGCGTTCTGCGTCAATTCTGGATACTTGATCTTCAGGTGGATGCGGCTCAGAACGGCCTCGTCAAACTCCATCACGCGGTTGGTGGTCAGAAAGAGGACGCCTTCGTAGTATTCAAGTTTCCGAAGGAAGACGGTCACTAAACGGTTGTGGCTCCCCTGGTACGATGCGCGCTTCTCCATAAACACATCGGCTTCATCGACCAGAAGGATGGTGTTGAGGCGTTTGGCAATTTTAAAGATCCGATCGAGGGTCATATCTAGTTGCAGGGGATCGCCATGGTCCGCAATTAAATCGCCTGCCGAAACCTAATGAATGAGCATGGAACCGGAACGTCTGTTGGATGGGCATCGCCTACCGAATAGAGAGGTGTCTGGAATCGCTCGGCTGTCGCCTCGACCGTGAATGTCTTCCCGACTCCGGGCACACCGCTGCCGCTGTTAGCAAAGAGCTTTCTCCTAGGAACTTCGGTCCTTACTAGAAGAGGACGTTGAGCCCTCGGCCCTTTCCTTTGATAAAATCATCAAAGACTACGTCTTTGTTGCCGGACAAGCGAGCGGTAGTAACTGAGAGAAGGATTTCTTTCGTGTCATTGGGAATTTGCAAGCGGTCAAATGAGGCAGGGGACCATTGAACATCTGCCAAATCCCCGACAGCACACTCCACTGGTTGAATGAGTCAGCACAGTCTGTAACGATCACAATTGTCAATTACTCACCAAAGATCTTGTCAGTGAAGCTGAAGCACCGAACCGTCGGACAACATATGAGACACTCCTCCTCAGTGATTGCACGTGGGTCCTTTCCATTGGCCTTGAATTTTTCGAGCTCGGCCCGCCGTTCTTCCTCACTGAAAGAAATGGTGCGGATGGTCGAATGGTCTTCCCAGCAGTCGGAGACCCGTGGGCGACGGTAGTTCGGCATCATCTCACGAAACAAGGCTGCATCGACTGCCACGCGACTGTCGATATTCAATGCCAGCGGCTTCCCATCCTTCATGATAAAGGCCATGCCCTTGCAGTGTTGGATCAGGACACTCGTGCTGGAGCGTCCAATGAATTGGCTTAGCTTGCGACCGCGTTCAACCAGGTTTTGAGTGATCCCTTCGCAGTCCGGATGGTATTGGAGTGGAAATACCTCAAGGGTGTGAATCGGTTTTCGTCCACGAAACTTGACAATGCCCAGCTCGATCCCTACTTCCCCAAATTCATGATCATCGTGGTCGAGATAATGACATTCGAGTTTGAGATGCGTGACGTCTTTCCGGGTAGTCTCTTCTGCAGCGTCGAAAACTATACATCGAGACTTTCCAGTCCCTAAGCACTTTGTGTACAGATGGCATCCAGGTTTGAAAAGAAGCTCAAGAAGATCGTAAGTGATCTCCCTGCGCTGCAACAATGGAGTAAGCCGTTCCACGATCGCTGCATAAGCTTCATCGATGTGGTCGACCAGGAGGCGTAGGTGCTCAACGCCTTCTGAGTGGCTCCTGGTATCTTGCAGCAATTTGGCTGCGGCTGTACAATCCACATATGCATCCGGGTTGGCGGGGGAAGGGACACTCAGACCAGGGGGGATGACTCTGTCTCTGGACACGGCGGCAAGCACTCTGGTTAAGTCGCTCTGTGTCAGTTCCTCAAGTTTGAACTTGAGCTCCGGCAGGAAATGAAACAGGACGACCTGCTCGATCTGCTCACGGGATTAGCTCCAGCATTGCCTCAGACGCCGGGTACTTACCGATGGCTTGGCTTCCATCACACTGACTGTCTTGACATTCTCCAACACCTCTCGCAGGATATCGCGCAGGATCTCGGACTTTACGTCGATGTACGTAGTGGACTTTTTGGATTTGGAATCTGCGAGAATAAGATTCTATCCTCCACTGGGATGTCCATGGTACGCACCGATATGTTCGCGAACGACAAATACGTATCCACTAAAGTCGTCCACTTCCGGTTCAATCGATTCGACCACTTTATATTTCGAGGTGTCCTTGTCCCATCTGTGCAGGCGTCAGTAATCTCTGGTGACTATGCGCAGATATGGAGACGTACATTTCCAACACTTTCTTGAATGTGGCCTCGCAGGATTCGGTAATCCCTTTCGACGAGCCATTCTCAATGTCGGTACAACCAGACTGACTTCTGGTCTCAGCAGCGCTTACCAGCTGCTTCTCCAGTTCGTCGGCGTCAAGCGGCGGCGTGGAGAGTCCGAAGGAAGAGGCAGGAGTGGCAGGGAGTCCACCTGGCCATGTGACTGGGTTGGAACAGGCCTTTTCCGCTAAGACTTCCACGATTCCTTCCGGCTCTCCAACGATGGTGGGCAAAGGTTTCTTTTCAAAGCCCTGGTCAATGGCTTGGAGGACAGAAGGGGAGGCGTCAACGTCTTGGTGAGCAGCGACCATACTGAACAGTACTATGGTGATTGATAAAGAGATATTTTGGAACAGATTGAAACGGTGTTGAGTGGGAGCCGAATGTCAAAAGAAAGATTTTATGGGGAGAAGCGCGCCCTTTTTTATATCTCCTGGAGACTGGTTCTCCTCGCACAGTTCCGACCAGAAGGAGCATACTAGGATACTACAGCATGCAGTTCTGGTCACATCATCTACTCCAACATCTGCATCTGATATCCAAAAGTATGTTGACCGTTTTTGATTTCATTGGCCGTCCGTCAGGTCTGACAGGCGAGAAGTGTAATAATCCATTAAATATTTCGGGATTATACAAGTAAGATTCCAGGGAACATATGCAGAATATTCTAAATTTGAAAAGTATCTGTTGGTCCACAAAACTCCGATAGGTATATGTGGCGCAGCTGCATGACGTGTCCCAGCACAGGAACGGCATATATGGAGGGCCCCTCCTTCCCGGAAAAGCCGTAGGCTTCTTTCGATTTCTCTAACATACCCCAATATGTCCGCCTCTTTAATCTTATCACAGTTCGCGGCCTTAGTAGCCCGCGCGGAATCAATGGAAAAGAAGCTTTCTCCGAGGAAAATCCGACCAACCCGAGATCAACTGAATCAACTCCGTGAACATAGGGACAAGCTGAGAACGACTTTATCGAAACTTGACGCCGAAGTCACGAGCCTAATACAGCCTGATGAGGAAATTGTCAAGCTCCTGGATAGAATTCGGTCGGGGAAAAATTCCTTGGCGTCTATCTCAACAGCCCTTTCAAGGAATCTGATCTTGATCTTTACTGGTCCCAAGGACTCTAGTCTGGACTCAGTACAGGTGACAGCGAGTAAAAAGCACACTCGAAAAAGGTGCCTGAAATTAAGGAGCCAACATCCCCATGTTACATTGAAGTGGGCACAAGCTCTTCCACCGTCGACTTGGAAGTCAAGAGGAATGACCGATGGTGCTTTCGATTACCTTCTGGAAGCGCTGGAAGCGGAGCGATTGGATAGCGTTCTACCAATGGTACATAATATTTTGCAATCCTTGGAAAAGGAAGAGCCGTTGAATTCGTGTGATGCATTCAAATCATTCGTGTCAGAAATTTTGAACACAACCACGGCGGATGAAAGCAGAAACACTTCGAATATAAGCCAACAAAAGAAAAGGTCTATTGCAACAGACACTACACATGGTGCTCCGCCTAGGAAGATCCTATGCACAGAAGCGCGGTTCCAAGGTAAGTGCATCAGACTTTCGCAGCATCAGCAAACATTGACAAGGCCAGGTGCGAACGAAAGCCGAGTAGATCACACTGACGGGGAGGACGAAAGACACCGACAACTCCAACTGATGGAGAGAAGCAAACGCACGTAACAATAACGCCAGACGATGCCTTGATGAAGCTAATTGAGACAACAGAAATCGATTATAAGGGGTCGTCAATGCCGACAAGTAAGCTGCCGCTTTTGATTGACAGGCTTTCGACGGCAATAAAGAGCAGTGAGCAGTGGAAATGGGAACGCAGAATATTCTTGGAGAATAGTGGAATGTTGGAAGCGAATATGGTGGACAGAACGGATTGTTTGAATTTCTTCGTTCCCAAAGATCGAAATCACGACATCTCCATCACTCTAACAGTCGGCCACGAAGTTGGACTAGAGGTGATTGGTGAGGTGGAAGCTATTGACTTGTGAAAGTCACAGTTGCTCCTATCACACGAACTCGGCACCCAGGAGGCACTGTCGCTGTTTCTTCCTTTGAAGGGTCGTTTTCCCAGACTGGAGGAGAATCATAGTCCACCTTCGGATCATAAATCATTATGGATTTGCCTTTTCCAGTGATTTTCCTAGCATAGTCCGCCTCTCGAAATAATTTGAAGCCTTTTATGTCGTACAAAACGTCGTCCTCCGCGGTAGTCCCAATGCCATCAGACATTTCCCAAACGACAATGGCGAAAGTTGTTGGTAATCGAGGGAACCCAGAATCGATATTGCGAGTCTTAGAAGGAGTGACTGGGGAAGAAAGGTAGCCAACTTACTGTCAGCATACTCAAAGCGAAGATATGAGGGAAGTTACCTCTGGCCTTTCTCCTCGCGCCCGCATCCAAGGACGTGAAATTTTTGGGCGGGGGAGGGGCAATTGTCACATGACGGAAACCTTGCGGCCTAATCGGGCAGAAAGCACAATCCAAAATCGCTAGAGCAGCACACATTTCATATTAAGACGAGTCAAAAATAGAGGATTTATGCATTTTCTGTCAACTCCCATGAACCCTTGTGTGATATCCTAGTCTAATAGAAAGAGTTTCGACCTTTGATGTTAAATCAAGGTTCTGGCGCTGTCGCCTGCAGTGACATATTTAGTGAGGCACCAGGATTGAAAATTGTGATTGCTCCACACGAAGTAATGTTTGTCTGTCTGATGTCCAGCGACAGAAGCCCACTCTGGCCAATTTCGAAAAATGCGGAACTTCTTGTTGGTTATGCAAGTATAACAACATCATACATTTCAAAATATACCAGCACATAAGGCAGACTCATAATTGTCTGGGCTTTGACTAAAACAGATCTTACTTATTGACCTTACGGCTTTCGGACCTCCATCAAATTGGACCAATCTACTGACAACGTGTTGTTTCTTGGTGTGTGACATTTCGTCTGTTCGACTTTTCTGATCGTAACGCGCTGAGGTCTTTTACGCAATATTAACTTGACAATTCTGGTGTCTCATCTCCTAGGATCGACTATTCGATACCCAATTATTTAGCGCCTATCTATCACACCAAAGGTGCTCAGACCCCTCAAGGCTGAAGTTACCGCTCTAAGTGGGGAGATATTGATCTTACGAAATAGCTGTCCAGGGTTCGAGCCATGTTGATGCTTTTGAGGCGGCTGTGATGGCGAGCCCAACGTAATTAATTGGTCATGTCACCTCTTTCTTACACCAATCAAGTCGTACAAGTCCTTTGTATCTAATGTTCGCCGGTCGTCACTGGGCAAGGAACGTCCATCGTTCATCAAGTGGCGTACGCCGCACCAAAGGTTTCCATCCTTCCGATGCGATGTTGTTGGTGTGAACTACCGCTGTTGATATCTTGTGCATTAGTGCAAGCGGCAGTAGACCTGTGAGGCTGAGCAATTTCGTGATTTTTTGCATCTCTCTATGATCTATGTCTTCTTAAGGTTTGTCTGCCATGAACCCCCACTTATCTTGGGTCCATCTTGCCTCCCCCGTTTATGATCAAGTTGCTGTGATTGAGCGCACCGGCCGTCTCACTGCGGGACCTCAAAGGCGCGCGGCTATTATTAATAGAAGCTGAAATTTGTGTGCTAATTTCTGCCACTCCTGCGTTTCAGCTCCCAGAACATGAATCAAATTTCAACATATATATCAACCATCAGACCTCACCCTGACACTACCAAACTTATCCTGCCATCTCCCAACAGACCAAATAACTTCAAGCATTCTATCCAAACTTTCTGTTTCAATCTATCAAGATGTCTACCAACAGATTCATCCAGTCTTTCACTCAGGTCCCAAAGGAGCTGTTCCGCCTGAACACAGCGGCTGCTGTTCGCCTCCGCGCTCAGCCAGGCCCTGTGCGACCGCAACGCAGCTTCGATCTTCTTACAACCGCAGGAAAGGTTCAACCTAAGGCTCTCAATCCGGCTACTTATGAATGTACATTATTTATGGATCCAAGATATCTAATTCACGTCACTAATATATCGGTCCAGGGCCAAACGGTGCTTCCATGCGCCCCAATTCTGCAGGACAGCAGAATCTCGTTCGCACTTTCCGGGGCTCTTCGATCTACGTCTACGCTATTCCAGCAGGTTCGTCCCTCAACTTTCTTGAAGCCTCTGGTCTTTATTCATCCGATACCTGTACAGGGACTGTTTTGCCTGACGATCTCATTCTCGTCCACGAGTTTGGCGACCATTACTCATTGCAAGCCCGAAAGGAGATGACAGTGGAAGGTAATATATACCTCTAACATCAAAAAGAAAGTACTTGCTGACAATTAAACAAAGAACTGAACTCAAAGATCAATGATTTTCTGACCACCAAGGGGCAGCGATTCACCAAGGACGAATGGCTGCAGCGGTACCCTCAGGCGACTGAGTAAGCTTTGCCTGAAGGATGTTTCCTTGTGAAGCAATCATGTCCGCATTTCTATTGGCCGGAGAGAAAACGGTCAACGGGGAACAATCAACTAGTTGTAAGCTGGCTATCAATTGATACGTAGGATAATTCTTCTTGACTCTAGATCTTTTGGTCCGTAGCGGTAGCCCAGTGCAATTATCTTACACTAGACTAGCCGAGGAGATAAAGCGGCAATTGTGTTCCTGGCGGTTATTCTGTCTTGGCTTCACCTGCCCAATCAGGCGGTTGGGTCATCAATGCAGTTGTACCAGTGTCGAAGAAGAAGATACCAAGATTGGAAAAGACACAGGACACGAGGCTCGCTGCTGTGGCTTTCGAAGAGGGAGTTTAGGTGGAGGTCCGTATGCCCCGACCCTCTCACGCTGGGCCTGCTACATATACCACTACGGCACTACCGCATGCGCCAGATCATGTGATTTCTTTGTCAGCGAATGCTAGTCACTGAAATTACACTAGTCAACTCATCTCTCCCTTTTTTCCACTTGGCTTCTATTCTAAGGCTGTCCCAAAGACAATTAACACAGCATGTTCCACAGCTTTCTTCGTCGTATGCACGGCCCTACGCGTGGCATGCCACGTTTCTCGAATCGTCGAGCTTTCTCATACGTGTCAACGCACCAAACGTTTCCAGCAAGCTTGTATCGATTTCAGCTGCACCGCGACTCAAAGCTTTATGACAGAGCCACCGAACAGGATGACTTGGAGTATGAAGATGGAGTTGAAATCTCTGCGGATGGCTTGGTGCATCCGAATATTACAGCTGATTGTATGCAAGAGCGGATTCACACTTTTCGCCTGCTAACTTATTCAGTTTCTAACGGCGCCTTACTCATGCCAAACACGCACTTTATGCAAGAGATCACACGAAGGTCATTCGATCACTACTTAGATATCGTGGAAAGTGGTCAATCCATCACGGCCGAACCACATTATCTGTGCATACCTAAGGGTGATTAAACCCCCTTGTCGTAATGTGCAAAGCTAATCTATCTCTACTCAAGGCACCCCCATTCCAGAGTCATTGACTCTTTTCCGTGAGCGCACTTCTCGCTTCTCCCTTCAGCCTGCACGTCCGATGTCGCTGGATAGTATGTTCAGGAGATCCCCTTCGAGAGATAGGATTACTAACAGGGTCAAGTTTTGAACAAGACGTTGACTCAGTTTTATTTTGACTATGGACGAATTTTTAACCCAGATGACTGGCTTGGTAGACACCCTTACCATGAGGCATCTTTTGACGATCAGGAAGAGTGGATGAACACATAATATGCAGGGAGGAAAATAGGGTCACTTGAGCTTCACCCTGGCTCCTTGACCTCGTGACAAACTTGGGCACCGAAATGACAGATCCGTCCTTCCCTGAATATTTTGTGGGGCACATCCTGCTATCGAAATGAAAGGCATTACTTCTCTCTCAAGTACCACTTACAGATGGCTTTCCATAAGTCAGAATAGGTCTCTTCTTGTCTGACTAAGTAGCCTTGTGTGCAGTTATTCCTAGCCATTACGACCTGTCAAATGGTTCAGCCCGCCCTGACTTACAGGTGCTGGGTTGCTGGGCTCTTGAAATCTGCCTTGGCTCCGTAGTGCCTTCCTCATGAACTCAGGCTTCTCGTATATCCAGATGTTGTTGGCGTCTACAATACAAATGCAATCCTTTCAGAGCAGAGCATATCTCAACGTCATCAGGATGGCTGGGAAGGCTATAGACATCATAATCAAGCCACATTTGCCTTGTTCTCGGAGATTCAGCATCTGCCAATGGTTTCCTGTAGAGTGTCATGGTTAGACATATTCAGGGATCGACAAAGCGAACTTACTCATTGCTATTGAAGACTTCGAAACCGGTGGAGATGATGAGCAAAGGCCAAGCAAGATCAGCGATGATTTGCTTGACTGGCGCGGCAGCAAATGGGGATATTATGATCGAGTCCTCGTCAATTTCCGCGAATCCTCCTGCACCGTGAGTTCCAACGATTTTGAATCCCTTCTTGATTAGTATGTCTTCTGTGACTTCCGTATACTCTGGGTCCTGAGCAAGTAATGGCAACGGTTCCTTGCCACGACAAAGTTGAGCAATAGTAAGAGCCGTCGAATTGTAGATTTGGATTATGCTTCCATCTATTCGACGGACTGAAAATCTTTCCATCGCATAGGACTGGAGCAATTGTTGCTCTATGTCTTCGAGATCCTCTTTCCTCCAGAGCCTGGTACCAGAACTGTACAGATCTGCGGCTCTTTGACTACTGATCCGCCAATCCGTGCATCCGTAGTCAAGCGGTCTTAGTGTTTGATGCATGTCTGGTAGCTGCCGGTCGAGCAAGGGAAAGGAACAATGTGATGAATTGCCGGGAGAAGAGCCCGAGATTGTTTAGGGAGGGGGGGCTTATTCGAGTACAAGGGTCAAAACAGAAAGGCTAGGACTGAACTGTGATACCCGAAGGTTGTCTATTTCTGAGGATGGCACCAATGTTGGATACAGTAACAACGTTCACTTTGATGGATTAGAAAATTTGACAACCTTGGAAGCTCTTCCTAACTACTTAAGTACTGGGCAGGTAGGGCCACAGAGGAAAAATAAAATTCCGTTCACCGCTTTACTGATCCAGGGCGCACAGTGATCATACAGATGTTCCAACGCGGAGTGCCAAATATCCCAAACGGAAACTGCCGGTGCGGACGGGCTACCCAGACCGTGCGGCACATTCTCCTCGCCTGTCCGCTCTTCAAGGGCCTCCGCAAGCAGTATCTTGAGAGACCAGACGGAGGTCTAGAAGGAGGTGGAGATGTGAAGACGGTTCTGAACACACCCAGACTTGCAATCCGGGCGGCTAAATTCATGCTACGATCGGGGCTCCTTGGGCAATTCGGAGCCGTAAGTCAGGAGGAAATAGATGAGGCGGAACACTGAGGTCAATGGGTATACAGAGGCTATAGGGGACTTGGGGAACCCGGGGCGATCGAATGCCTCCGTGGAGCCATGTCCTCAATTTATGCAGACATAAGCGAGATGTAAATAGGTATTACTAACCACCCTACTGCTCATAAGAGGTGGGGGATTATGATAGGCTGGGACGGCGAATGAAAAAAAAACTAATCCAGGGCATGTCGAAGTTCACACCCAATTCTACACCGCCTTATATCCGTCGCAGGAGACGTTCTAGGACAGGGAGAAGTTCCTCTTGAGGTGTGGGAAGTTCTCTTACAAGGTGGGGTTCTTTCCCGGCTCGGAGCTCGGGAAAACCTCTGGGCCTGCTTGATGTCATTCCCAACCACATTCTGCGCGACCCAGGGAGGGACATGGCTCTGTCGTTCTGCAACTACATATAGCACTACATATATTCGAAAGCAGAACAAGGAAGTTCGAGCGTTAAAAGACATTTCTAGTTATACCGCTCCCTCCTTGAGGGTCGTGCTCCAAAAAACTTGAATAGCTCCCCGGCTCCGGCCAGGAAACTGGTCCGAGAACAACCTTATCACCTCAGACCAAGGCCGTTTCTCGTCTCTTCTTAATTTCAACAGGAGATCCCGGTCTTCAGGCGAATACGGCATGCCCTTTCTGGAGCTGCCATGGGGCTCACAACTCTCAGACCGTTGAGGCAGGCGACTTGCTGGCCGCACGTCTCCGTTCCCCGTTGCCAGTAGATCGGGCGTAGGCATGTAATGTGGCGGGGAGTCGTCCAACAGCCAGGGGAGGAGTTGCAAACGTTTGTCAAGCGGCAGAGACTGCAAGTAGGTATAGAGTGGCGCAAACGGGTTCCCCCCTGGGGCGGACGTATGGGGCCCTAGAACCCGTTTGAGTGGTCGTCCATCGAGTCGACACCGCTTTCGCTTGCGGGATTTGGACTGTCTACCACCGTGGGCGGAGTTCGGAGAGTCTCTGGAGGGAGGATTGCCGACCGCAACGCTGTGACGGTCGTTAGGGGAGCTGGTAGACTGAGTATCTTCGCCTTGCCTCGGCCTGATGGAGTCTCGCTGATCTAGTGCACTGTAGAAAAGGGGTGGCGGGTCTGGATATGAACAAATCGCCTCTGACAGCTTAGGATCGTCCCCCAACGAGAAGGGCTGATGTAGATCCCCTGATTCCAACGGCCCATCATCGGCGAGAATGAGAGGGTCAATGGGAATGTGCTTTTGTGCACCTGGCACGCTGTCAACCGTTGAGGTATTTGTCGGATTCGTCGGTCCACGACCGGTTGAGCTGGACGGCTCTTCGCAGAGCTCGGACGCCGATGATTTAGGCGCCGCCTCAATGACATCTGGCAGAAACGTGATGATATATGCATTCCGGGGGCCATGGGGTTGGATGCGTAAAATTCCCCGGCCAAACACCTCCTGCGCTTCACTAGAAGCGGGCCGGAAGTTACCATCCGGTCGCCTCTGGGATGGAACTGACCCTTTCCTGGTGGTGTTATCGGACGATGATCGTGTCGTCTGACGTTCGTTTGAGTCGCGGATGGGTCTGGATGTCAATATTGGATGTTTACTCAGTCCATCCACAGCTTGACCGTTCTCGCTGTCCCAATTATCGTTCCAGTCTTCATAATGATAGGATGCACGGGACGAAGCGTTCCCGGCCATCGCTTTGACCTGGCGGCCTTGCTCACGGGTCGGTGATTTCTCGGAAACGGATGTGAATTGTTCCAGCCCACCAATATTGGCCCTCAGATGACAGCAGGCACGGCAACTTTGTCCAGTGGATGGCCGGGATTGAACGGGATCAGAGACAGCAACGCCCTTATCATCATCGGCGGGGCCTCTATTACCTCTCCCACCTCTGCCTGCGCTTGGCTCTTCAGCCCCAAGGCCCTCATATCCGAGGCTTTCCGGGCAACGTGTCTTGCTTCCTGTGTCCCCAGCTGCATCGGTTGTGGCTACCTGGCTCTGAGAGTCTCCAACGGCCCTTTCGTCAATATTGACACGTTCCGTGTGAGGTGCCCTTTCTGGGCCGAGAGTGTCCTCCAGGACGCCCATGGAAGGTGACCGAGAAAGACTCGCAGATATAATGTCACCAATTAACGGCGTCGACTCGCCCATGCTTTCTTCAGGCAGGTCCAAACTTGTACCACTTGGCAACTCTATTATATGTTAGAATTATATATCCTGTGCCCTGGACTCATCTCAGGCCTACCTGGAACTTCCTGCTCCGTTGCAACCGGTCTAGACTCTGAAATGGCAGGCTGCATTGAGAAGGACGCCTGCTCTTCCGACTGCTCCTGCGAGACATCCTCCACGGCAGCTTTGCGGCTATCACCGTCGTTTGTGTGGGTTTTTACCGGGCCTGACGCGGCAGCTGGAAACCGTTAAAGTTAGCAAGGCAATAGAAAGGATCCAACTCAGAACGCACATACCACCACATGAGTTACTCGGAGAATAGACGGTCTCTGGAGCACCGTGTTGGGCTGGAGCGCTGGCCGCCGCCACACCTGGCTTAGGTGCATCGAGGCAAGTCCGATGGGGGATGTGTGCTGGTGTTGAGGGGAGTTGATACGGCTTCCAACGAGAGGTAGCAATCGGTTTCGGTGGAGGGGGTTGGTAGCAGAAGTTGATATTATCAAGGCTGATAGACATCGTTTAGACCAGTACTGAGAAGTCCTAGTGGGGACGAGGAGAGAACGAAGGAAAAGATAGGCAGGGATAGGAAGACAAGTTCTGTCGAAGCTCGAAGTTCCGGGTCATAGAACCGCTTTTATACCCGAAAACACGCCTTTCACGGAACATATGAAATAATCAGCCGAACCCTCCGTAAGCCACAATGATCGGTCTGATCCTGCTCGGATCCAATAATCAATAGTAACCCAAAGGGAGGGGTTAGAAATGATGATTCGTGTCTCGGCGTTTCGCACGCACGATTCCAGGTTTTCATTGTCGGGCGCTATCTGGTCACTAAGAGATGATCCCAGCGTAGGCGCCACCACGTAAACCAGGGATCCAGGATTCGCCTGCGGCACTGGTGGGTTGGAAAGTCCGCCTAGCCAGAGAATTGTCGGCGGTCCGAAGGGGGCTTCATCCCATGCTGCAGCTCCATCACTCTTCGCAACTTACGCTGGATACCACGACGTCATCCTTTCAGATCAAGCGCGTCCTTGTTCGCTTCAGGCAAATCAGAAGGCACAGCCAGCAACCGACCATTTCCGGGCACTAAAGGGGGTTACGCAACCAGAATGTCCTGAGCTCCGTCTCGGGCGAGAGGCAGCGCCATCGAGGCATTTTTGCCATTGGCTTTCAGGATCGGCCGAGTGCACCGAGTTCACCGAGGCAGTGCTGATCGAGGCTGGATGGCACAGGGGGGACTCCGTCGGCCAGTTGCTGTTGACGAAAGGTGGCCGCCTAGTGAAAACTGGATTCCAAACATCCTTTCGGATCGCACGGCGAAGTCCGTGGTGATCTCCTCCTCCAGTAAGATCAGGGGATCGGACTGCAGACGCCGTCCATGGTGGCCCAGCGGTTTCATGGCTGCAGGTCGACGATGGGCAGACGGAGGCTGAGCGGTCCTTGTTGGGGGACGGTCATCTCCGAAGGGTGGGGGCCGGAGCAGATTGGTCCGGTGCGCGTGACAGGATGGCAGGGGGGCCGAGCGACAGCGTTGCGAGGGAAGTAAAAGAAAGAGAGAGGAGGTGGTCGTCGAGCGACGCACCAGCGGCCTTATATAGTTCAGCGGACGAAGTGAAGGCGGGCACGGGCGGCAGATCCCGGCACGGTATAGCGCGGGACGCTAAACCTGATTGGATAGACGCCAAACTGCATCAGGCAGCCACGGGACGGGCGCTAAACCGGAACGAGGGAGTTGCCGGAAACGGCGCCCCCTTGGTAAATGCGAATTGTACCTACGTTCAAAGGTTTCGAATCGAAAGGCGATTACGAAAGTCTACTATACTTAGAAAACTGTATCAACGGATACACGATCGGCGGAATTGCTAGAAGGTTCCGTGTCGGTCGGCTGTCCTGTCCTGTCTGAACTGGCAAGCTGTCAACAGCGACAGCGACTCTTCTGCATTGCTCTCCTGCATCTTCCAGTTTGGCTGCAGGAGTAAACAGGCTCCAGGGATCAACGGCCAAGGTCTGATAGGCAAGACTCTATTGGTACTTGTACTGCTCCGCTTGATATTATGGACAGCCCCGTGTTAATGAACGGCCCGTTGGGCATGAGACGGTGTGGGCTAACCGCTTACAGCATATTGCTAGGTGTAACTTATTGGGAGCCTTCCACTTCTTGTAAGGATGACCAAAAGCCTTTTCAGCTATGATGACGAAACCCGTCAATCCCGGCTGATCGACCCATGGGACGAAGATGCGCAGTATGCGCCAGCACCGGCTGACTTCGGCCGTACACCCGCTATATCGTACTCGAAGGCTGGAGATACGTGTACAAACTTATGCGATGCTCAGTGCCTTCATGCAGCGACCTTTGGCCAGTGGTCTTGGCAGGATCTCAAGGGTAGGAAACACTAAAGATCACGAAAACCCGCCTTGTGAAGCTCACTGCCCACGTGGACAATGGTGGCAAGTTGGACAGCCACGACGATGTCCCAGAGGAAATTCGCTAAGCTCTATACCTTGAGGCCCAGCAAAAGCTCGAGAGAGCCTCAAATAAATCGAACAATCAGCTTGTCAGTGCTCCCAATCCAATCAACATCAATCTCTTGCCCGCGCCCTGCACCCCCGAATAGGAAAGTTAAAATCACCGGGCCGAGAGATGTCGCCGTTCAAGGAATACTGCGAATGGCATGAACTGCAGGTGACTGATGAAGCGCGCAAGGCGGACTGGTGAAAATCACGTGACATAACTCTGTCAAACGGCCTTTACCTCGAGTTAGTTGAAGAGAATCAAGAGCATGTGCAGTTTATCATTGAATAAGGGGTAACAAAGGGGGCTGCGTGGCGATTTGTTCGCGACATGTATGAGTGGGCTAACCATGTGAGAAAAGAGCCGTCGCCAGAAGAAAGCATATAGGAGGACATTGCCGCTTGGGTACTGGTACTGTAGAATACACTGTTCTCTTCAGTGATGGAACTGTTATCTGCATTGCATATGTATTGAACCTTTTCTGGTTTACTTAGTCTGTTATCTTATAGTTTCAAGATCTTGAATAGCTTAAAATACCACATTGATTACGACTGCAGTACGTCCACTGTACCCAAGCAATACTCCTGCGGGTTCTAGGATGAACTTCTCTATCGCGACTCAAAATTATCCCACAAAAGCGTCAAGTGGAACAGACTTCTCAAATTATTTCGCTATGCAATCTACATAAATTATACCTCGAAGATTGTGCAATGTGAAGGCACCCACATATCACCAACTGTCTTCCAGATTCTTCTCAAAAATAGTGTTCCAATTCTCCTGAAGTGCCTCACGCTCACTACTGTCAGAACCATCAAGATAGTCCCACTTCTCCGCTGCTTCTACTCTCTTCATGGCCAGCCGGCTGTCCCTGTCTACCCAATATTAGCCGACTCTGATACTCGCATAATCCCGTAAAATACCTTTTTTGACTTGTTCTGGATCAATTTTCTCAACGATAGCGGCTGACGGGATGTTATGAAGGCATAGATAAGTGCCACTGATGTGCTGATCCGCCTTATCTGGTAGTCTCAATTCAAGATCTTTAACTAGATCCTGCAGCCTGAAGAAGCAGGCATCTTCTAAGCGATTTGTATCGATAACGTAAAGGGCCCAATTACTGCGCGAGAGGTACGGCGCCTTGCCCCGCCAGGGTTGTTTTAGCCCCCAATTCTCTGCATGCTCGCGATCGGAGAAGAGGCTGATAAATGGAACAGGATCCCTACACTCCCAGGTGAATTGTTTCACGATATCTGTCTCAAACTCAGAGTTTGCTTGGTCCGCATAGGTCTTCCTTCGATGTGCAGCAATAAAGCCCTCGCTCTCAGAGTAACCTGTTCGGCTACCGGGATAATTAATTCGATACAAGCGTGAGGGCACGCTTTCCTTCGATAAACGATACTCCATATTTCAAAGTGATGTGGAAACTAAATCAAACGAACTTTTCTTGAACGCGTTTGAGACTAGGAAAAAGCATGGAAAGTGGTCTACGTCACCTCATATCGCCACATTGTCAAACCTAGAGGCTGCTTAGCAAGCCACAAAAGTCATAGTGCTGCCGACGGATTTCCCGCAGCACCTAGACCTGTATACTTGCAGATTTTATATTTTATGTAGCTATAGTATAAACTATATCGAATTCACGATAGGACATATTGTGGGCATACCCATGAATTTTTGCCAATCAGCGACTGAGAAAAGGCGGCCCCTTGATAGCATGTCCAGCAGAACCCTGTACCTGGTATCACTGGTGCCTGCAAGTTGTAATCTGCCAGCCATGCTTCGAACACGATCCATGATATCGTACTCTGAAACATTAAGGTTATCACCACTGGCGAAGAACCCTGCGGGTAACGTAACTAAAACCGAGTCCCGATGGATGAACGACAACGAATAACGATATCCAAATAAAGGGATATCAATCAGAATGTCTCTGCCTTCACCGAGGAATGACGAAACGATAGCAGTGGAATGTATGGGACCGCGTATCAGATATTCCTCTTCGTAATAAGATCTTTGATCGAGAGAGTAATGTTTCAGGAGACCAGTGACCTTATACACTTCTGTCTCCGGGGAAAGAAGAGGACTAAAGATGACATGAACTCGAAGATTTCGAACGCCTTGTTTCTTCCACGTATCTATCCGGGATGACAGAAGAGACCAAGTCGCCACGGATGAGAATTGTGTTTCATAACGAGCGTTTTTGTCCAAATGAGAACAAACTTCGAACCGGGTGATGTCCCGCCGAGAACGATATCGAGGCCAAATTGTCATTTCTGTAGAAATATCGGGCGTTGGTGGAACCGAGCCATTAGAAGTTCCAGAGTGTGTCGCCCGGATCAAACAGAGGGGTAAGTGTTGCCTGTCTTGACCCGTGTGAGGAGAGTCACAGTCATGGCTGCATAACCTCATAGTAGAGTCTAATGGTGCTACCATCTCTATGTCTGCGGATGGTGCTAGCCTATGAAAGTGTAGGGTAAGTGGGCAAGTTGTTTGGGTGGCTGTGTTTCACACGGTGGAATGAAATTGTTAAGGGTAAAAAGGTTAGTTAGGTATAGAATAGTAGCAGTCCATTGATTTCAAGACTTTTCCTCGCTATCCTAAAAGGTTCTAGGGGTAAAATACTAGAGAGGCTAAAGTCATTGACGTCACGACCCTTTCATGAAGGATTCGTAGGTAAGCCATAAGCAGTCCGACATAGTTACGTCCTGCTTACTCCGTACTTAGCTTGGCTAGCTTAGAGCACCACATGATCATACCCAGACAATACTCCTGTGGGACTCTAGGATAAATGTTGTTCCGATAACCAGCTGACTAATGGCGAGAGCTTTCCCTCCAAACACAACCTCATCTCATCCTTATCACAAAACAGAGTTAAAAGCGTCCTTGACTCGACTTTCAATGGCCACTGCACATCACCGCCACCAGCTGTCCCTGACAGGTTTTATTCATCCGCCTCGGAAACCACTCTTGACACCGGAAGAGATTCAAATAGCGCGAATCTTGTTCAAGACGTTGATAGACTATGCACCTGAGCGTTCATCAAGAGGGCGGTACAAACCGGCGGTTCTCATAGAAGAGACATTTGGACGCATTCAATGCAAGGATGCCTTCCTCGAGTACTTCTTTACTTACATATACATGAATGTAACATCGGAAGAAGAGCGCAGAACAGGCTCGGATTTCTGTCAAGTTTTCACCTACTTTCGCGATTTCTCGTCGTGGAGTTCGAAGGATAAAGACACAGCTATGGATACCATCGACAACTTTGCAGAATATTTGATAGATAACTTTTTCATGCCACGTGAGTTGATGTCCGCCTACGAGCTCGATTTATCCTGGGAGGGGCTAACTTTATGACATGATGTAGTTAGGGCGTCATCGGTGAAAACACCACAGCCTACACCCGTAGCGTTATCCGCGAATCAAAATGCACCAACGGGCACCAAAAGTCGTGTGTCTAGGTTACGACAAGAGTGCCTCAAACGTGATCACTATCGCTGTGTTGTCTCCCGCAAGTTTGATAGAGCTGAAGCGAAGAAGCGGCTTGAGCAGAACGAGGATAGCAAAGATGATGATGGAGAGTTTTTAAGAAATCAAAAGAGTGACCAATTCGAATATCTAGAAGTGGCGCATATAATTCCCCATTCACTTGTGACGGTCTCTTCTGAGGAGTCAGAATTGGTATGTGGCCCCAAAGTGTGACCAGGTTCTTGGTTTCTTTCTAATTATAAGCATAGAGTGAGTCAAAAAAGGCTGCTTTGTACATTCTGAATATGTTTGATCCGGACATAGGCCCCCTTATCTCAGGGCCAGAGATCGATAGTCCCTACAATGCTTTGACGCTAACCCACAATTACCATCGGCTGTTTGGAGAGTTTGAAATATATTTCGAACAGAAGGACCCTACCATCGAGCGCACATATTTGATCGACTCTACCGAACAAAGGCCATTTTTGCGCGATCCTCTATTTCCAGTTATTCGGAAACTTCATCTAAGCCCCGAACTTACTATTGATCCACCCGCTAGTAAGCTTCTAAAGGTTCACTGTGCTATCGCACATATTCTGAAACTTAGCGGTGCGGGAGAGTATATAGACAGGACGCTTCGGGAGATGACTGAAGTTTGCGTCAGCGCAGATGGCTCCACAGATCTAGGACGCCTTGTAAGATCGCGGCTGGGTAACTGGTCAAATGTATTAGCTGTTTACTAGCTTAATTTCTCTGACTTGCGTGACGTAGCAAATGCTTATGCAAGCTTTAATTCAAAATAGCTATCTCGCGAAAGTCTTTTGTCTCTTGTATCAAGGAACCCCACAAAAAAAGATAACAGTCCTCCCTAGTTGTCGTCCCCATATTCCTCAATGGTTATACCAGAATGTCGAAAGTGACCTTAGCGCTGCGTCTTTTCGTACCAACAGTATTGACTCATGCTTGCAGGATAGCATCGAAGCCCTGATCAGGCGAAGTTTCGTAGTATTCCCAACTTCGCTTAATATAAGCCTCAGATGGGAAAGAATTCCTCAATAGGGTTCAGCTCTGGTGAGTATGACGGGACGAACAGTAATTTTACCCCGGCTTCAGAGCACATCTGCTTGACTCTCTCAAAGTGGTGAAAAATGCATTATCCATTACTAGCACAATTTTTGCAGAAAGCGACAGGCATCTTATGTACGAAGCCGGTGTACATCTTCTGCATGTCTTTGTAAGTGCATCATATGCTGAAATTCTATATCATCACAGAAGTTGCATTTGCGGTCCTGCAAATGAGACATCTTGAAGTGTCTCCTCAGGCCGTAGTGGTCGGAGTATTTCTTGCGGCACTGGAAACACACCTGAGGCTTCAAATCTTCCTTTATTTGTTCATCCAGGGCGGCGGCTTGCTCTTCCCAGGCTGATATACTCGGACGAACCTCGGACTTCTGTTTGCGAGCCGGTGGTCGAGCAATGCACTCCTCATCCTCAGCCGGTGCAGGGCGCTTTGGCCTTCCCCGAAGTGGGCCACCTTCAGGAAACCCACAATACTGGATTGCAGCTGCAACGGCTTGATTACGCCTCATCCACTCGTCCTCTAGTGAATCCGAAGTAGGCCACGTGAAGAAGGTCTCAATGAGTAGGATTTGTTCCGGGGGCATAGCGAACTCCTGCCGTAAGATCTCGCGCGCGGGTTCGTCATTCACTGCACCACCACTAAGCTGCCTTTTAATATCGATCACTGCCTGTTTCTGGCTGAAATCTCGGCGTAATTGCTTTCGTTGTTTTTCCTGCAGACTCCGGCGCAGATTCTTGACTTTCCGCTTCTGGTCCTCCAGCAGTGCGTCCAACGCCGAATCGTCAGAGCGATTGCGCTGAGTTTCCAAGTCAGCCTGCCATCGGACAGCTGCCTGGAGCACCGGATCCTTCTCTACCAATGCCCGATCTGACTCGCTAAGGTATCGAGGGCGGCGCTTGTCGATCCAGCGACTCATCCGTGTCACCGCTCGGGTAAACTCCACGTCAGGATTTAGGCCACACATGATTTCTTGCAATCCAGCATGTCTGCGCGGACGGTAGTGTTTGACAAAGGTTTTACTACTCGCGTGCAACATGATCACATTGCGTTGAGCCTCACTGACGAATCCTAGGCTAAATATTTAGTTCTTGAACCCGCACAAAGATGGGCAAAAGAAAACCACGTACCGCTTTCGTCAAGTAGCTGCCCGCCTCCATACCGAAACTGATGGGAGAAGAACGGATTGAGAAACCCATGGATCTCACTCAGACTCCGAAGCTGGCCGTGCAGCGTGTTGCCGTTCAGCGGAGTCTCCCAGAGAATGTTAGGCTGACCGTTGACCAAGTCAACTCTTGGGAAGACATAGTAGTTGTCCGTTTCGGGCTTCAGAGGAAGTGGCATTTCCTGTCGGTCATCCTCAACCAGAAGCCTCCGAAGGTCATCCATTGACTTCAATTCTGGCGCCGCAAAAGCACGGGCATAGAACAAGATGCTGAAAAGCAAAACGTGTGGACTGAAAACAAGCGATACACCGTATACAATTTCAGGTAAAGCAAATGTGTTACTATGGAAGGTTAGCTTTCTTCAAGACAAAAGATACTGGATATGAGCATGGGAGAGATATTCGAAACAAAGAGCTCCATACAGTTTTGCCATCCCAAGGTTCTTTACAATTTCAGGTTTGAGTTCGATCATTGGCACAGGAGGACCTCCGTGTGGATCTCGCTGAAGAGTGATCTGGAGGTGCTTGAACTGCAGGCTTAGGACTGCATGTTTCCGGTTGACGGTAAACAGTCCTATGACATTGTAAAGGCATAGACTTATCCTCTGGAACCCTAGGTGAAATCGCTTTTCGCGGGTCTGGAGAATGGTTTCGTTCAAGGGAACCATATCTTCAATATAGACTGGAACATTC